TATTATCAGTGGGTTTGTTATCTGTTACACACTTTCATCAAGAGAGTTTTCATCAAGAGAGTAATTTTTAAAAAACTATTTACAATAAAATTAAGACAGCTTTGTTTATCCCTGACTTTATAAAAGAGAAATGAGTAAGTTCATATGAGGAACAAACTATCTACTCTTTTAAAATCTGAATAATTGTATTAAATTTAGATGCAGTAGTATTGAATCTGTTTTATATTGAACCTGAACCTAAAATTTAGAATTAGGTTGATACAGTTTTGAGAACAGAATATAAATAGGCATCAAATAGTTTATTGTAAAGTTTACATAAAGCAAGTAGACAAGTCAGCTAGAAGGCAGGTAGACATTTACAAAGGTAAAATACTGTGCAAAAGTCTTGAGTCATCCTTTGAGTACTTTTGTTTTGCCTTCAAGAGGACAGACTTTCTTGAAATGTGATAAAGTTTATCTCCGGACTTTGACTTGTTTTACACTTGGTTTTAGTTCTGACTATTTCCAGAGGCAAGTTTTGCTTACTTGTTCATAAGTCTGAACTATAAATCAGATGTAAATAAATAAATGAAGCTCCTTAACTCAAAAGATGAAGTTATAATAGTTTTTCTGATCATTTTTTGTGTAGATTTTATGTGAAGACAACCATTGGGACAGCACCAAAGTTCACAACAAACATACCCAAAAAACACAGTCAAGTATATCATATGGTTCCTGATTTTTGGATTTGGCTGGTTACTGGTTTTATCAATCAATCAAGGAAGTCGTCAGCAGCAAATTTGGACCCGATCACGCTGCTTGCCTTTATGATGTCTTAGTTCATGCCTCGAGTACCCAGACTCAAATGCTTTGGGCTGAATGGATCAGATCTTGGGGATTTTACTCAGTCACGTTCCATCGGTGTGGCCACGTAATTTGGACATTTCGGAACAGAGTGGACCAACACAGACTCAAGGTAGATGTCATTAAGTTCTGCCTGTCCCCAAAACATCTGTGTGTTTATCTGAATTTGGCTCCCCTGGCTGGCCTTGAAGACCATTTTAGCTGAATTCACCTGGAGAAAATGTGATCTGACACTCACCACCCACTCCCTGAGGAATTTCCAACTGATAACCAGATGAAACCAGCTGAATAAACTTTGTGTCATAATTTCAGGACTCTTGGATTCTCATAGTCGTTAGTTCTTGGCCATTCCTCGACATACCTCGAGAATGATTACGGATCTCACCGGAGGACACTGGCTGATTATTACATCTTTATCAGAACTCTTACAGTGACCTCGAGAGCATCTATGATCATGCTCACCGCTCTCGTTGTCTCCCCTCTGCAGAATGTCTACGTCACTATGTGCTTGTTTGTGCGAGGTGTTTTTTAATATCAGAGTTTTTTTCTTCTCAGGCAGGAAAAAAAAGTCTGATAGGAATTTTTCGCCTCCAATTCCCACGTGTCCAGTTTCACTACTTTTTGTCTGTCTAAACAGATCTCACTTGTAAATGAGTCTTCTAGGCTCAATGTGACTTATCTGTCTAAATAAATGTTGAATGAATGAATGAACGAATATGAACTGGGGGTCGAGATGGGGTAGAGGTAGGGCAGCCGACTGGGGACTAGAAAGTCACGGTTCAACTCCCAGCCATTCCCACATGTCGTGGCGTCTCTGAGCAAGACACCTAATCCCGAATTGCTTCCCGGGTGCTTACATAGCTGTCCACTGCTCCACATGGGTGAACTAATTTCACCATTGTATGGAAACATACATTGACGACGAGCCCAGACTTCCCTTCGCCTCCCTTCCCATATGAAACTGATCCAGTAATGTGTTGACATGTGAACAACTTAGCAAAGGAACAGTTCCAAATACATTTTTAGGCACTTTACTAACAGCAGCTAGTCCCAAAAACACAATTTTATCCAATTTCTTTTGTTCAATTTATGATAAACAAAGTTTGACAGACATTAATAAGTGTTTGAAGCACACACCGCACATTATGTGGTCCTGATCAGGTACAAAGACAGAGAATAAGTGAAAAAGCAGCAAAATATCATTTATTATTTTTGAAAGAGCTTCAGAGAACTTGGAAAACGGTTGAAAAAGAACACATTAAGATTACTAAAAAGTCGGGGTGCACCAATTAAGGTAAAACACCAATAAATCGGCCCCGATTTCCTTAATTTTGGGTTAATGGCTATCGGCCGATACTTACACGAGAAACAGATTTTACAGAACATTTTGTAGTTTTAACAAGAATTGTCTAAACTTCATTTATATTTCAGAGCTCTCCCTCATGGCCAGTTAAAACAAGTTTGTATAATTTCTAGGATATTGTTCAAGGGTATGAAGACTGGAAAATTGAAGGTGCATTGTGACCTTATAACACCTCACAGTGTCACTTATAAAACAAAATCGGTATTGGATGAAATCAGAATCGGCACGTCAGACTTTTTAGTGATCATGATCGGCCAGAAAACTGCAATCGGTGCACGTCTATTAAAAAGTTTTGCTCTTTGGAAGCTAAGCATAAAGAAATTAGGGATGCTTTATTACATTTGCACAGTACTGTCAAAGTGGCAAGAAAACAAGATTAAATCAAAATCAGCCATGGTAAAAAAAAAAAAAAAGTCAAGGTATACAACTTAAAGAAAATGAAGACAATTGAATTGTTCACAATATAATCCAAATATGAAAGACAAGCTCTTACTCTCAATATTAGACCAAAGGATGAAAACAGATTGAGTAAATTGAGAAACAAATCCAGAAGGAGGGCAGCAGGGACTTAAAAGAAGGGCTGAGAGACAGAATACAAGTTGAGTGGAGGAAAAAATAAAAGATGGAAGTAACGAGGGATGAAGGAGGGAAACAGTAGAAAGTGGGTCAGAGCAGCAGACAGACAGTGGAGGCTGCTTTGGATTCAGTAGACTGAAGCTTTGTGAAACCCTCACCGACATGTTACACACACACTCAAAGTCTATCACTTACACACAGACTACATGATTTATTAGCTCCTGCTCGTCTGTCGGTGTAGCCCCGCCCACTGGGAATCCACAGAATCATTCACCAATCAGATTATCAGCTTCAACTTCTCTGTGCGTCTTCTTCTCACTTGTATCTGAACACGTTTTCGTTCTGAACCAAGTTGTTTTCTCCAAATCCTTAAGTCTCAGAATAGTTTTACACCTTTGATGTACTTTATTCCCCCTTATCTGTCCAAGTTTATATTAAAGTGTGCATACTTACAATTGTACACTGACTGGTACATGTTAGGAAGAAGCACACAAAGATGGGCCAATAAAAAAAAAAAACTAAATAAATCCATTAAGGAAGTGGCACACTGCCAAAACAATAAACTCTGTGTAAACCTTGTTAGACAAACATGCTGCACATCTATCCCATCTTTCTTTCCCATCTTCCTGGCTCTTTTTCAAATCTACATCAGTTTATTTCCTGTCTCCTCCTCCTTTCTACTTCCTAACACTTTGTTCCTTTCAAATGGCCTGTTGTTTTTTCTCTGCCCCCAAATCAGCTCTTGTACCTTTCCATGTGGCTTATCACCCCCCCCCCCCCACACACACACACACATACACACTTTTTCCTTTATAGTGAGCTCATGCACCACCCATGTTAAAATAAAGTGAGAAATAGAGGGGATTTGTACACAGGATTTAATTAAAATGACACGTGTGTACACACCACGCCATGTCTAGTAGTAAATATTTAAAGATCGAATCTGGGTGATGAAAACCATATTACTCCAAAAGCCTCATCTTCATTGGATTGTGGTTTTACTGGGCAAACTGTTTCATGTCAGCAAACAAAACAGGATTTAAAGGGATTAAATTGTCTCCAAAATCTTACTTGACAATGTACCCAGACACCATGGATTGGCCGTCTTGCATGCAGCGTGCATAAACCCTGACAGGATTAAAGAGGAGATGGGAAATTTCTGGACACAGTTCCTTAAAAATATCATTTGTTGTGCACCAAGTAAACAATCTTCTTCTTTCCAGCAGGTGGAATATGCTCACTAGTATGATGCATCAATACAAACTGTTTATCTGAAAATACTGCAAACTAGATCAGAGTATTTGTACAGCGCAGTTCTGAAATCATGCTGGAAGAATCAGTGTATTTGTTTCTGGTTGCTAAAGTTGGCAGGTGAAATGTTTAATTTCTTTTTTTTTTTTTATAAACTAAAACTCCCTCCACTGTATCAGTCTGCAATCATATTCAGTGTTTGAATATGAATGCCTGTCAAATTATTACAAATTTTGATGCAAATGGACAAAACAATCAAGACTCCTGATGATTAACTGGACCACATTCACAGCAATTGATTAGCCAATCAATTGAAAACAAAATAAATTTGAAAAGGCATTAGAATTCTGTATTTTCCAGACTATACGTCGCTCCGGAGTCTAGGTCACATCAGTCAAAAAATGCCCCATGAAGAGGAAAAAAACAGTTGCTTTGACATACAAGTCACATTTATTTAGAAGTGTATTTCACAAAGTGGAAGAACAGACATTTAATCTGAAATAACAATAACACACAGAACATATCTGGGATACTGAACAGGCTTAATTAACATAACAAGCCAACGAGTCCAACAAGCAAGTTACCATCCTCTGTGTCGCTTCCGAACAACTCCACTGGTGTTAGCGCAAGGGGAACAACATATAGTTGTTAAAAGCGTACAGGGCTCCCTCGCGGTTGCAAATGGTAATGCTTACTTTTTGGTTCATGTCTGTATGATTGAACATTTAACGCGTCAGTCAAAAATTGCATCATAAATAGGGAAAAAAATGTAAATAAGTTGCTTCGGACTAAACGTCGCAGCACTGGCCAAATTACGAAAAAAA